TGGAACATCATCATAACTCTCCAAACCCCCAATTCCATCCTGAATTTCTTGCACTATTTCCTTTAAACACTGGCCCAGTCTCTCACGTCGAGCAATAGGGCTCTCATGGGGCAGATGAGAAGGCTGCTCGTGTCTTTTACCATCCACGACGAAATGCACGGGTTGTGCATATGTGCTGCGAGCCACGCCCATCACTAGGGCTTATTTTATGGTAGGTCTTATTTCGGGGAAACATGGTGTAATATTATGAAAGAATTCACCAAGCATATCCTGTAAGTAGCAGTGAGTATCAAAATGCACTTAAAATCATAATTATAAATTAATTGACCAAGAGTCTTGGGAGTATAAGTGCAATAAAGGGTCTAAACAATATTAAAGTAAGTTAATGACTTATTAATCAATTTTTTGGGGAAAACCCAAATCTCAAGTATCTCAAAAACAGTATGTTTTCCTTGCGATTGCAAAATACTTGTGCATTTGTTCTAGCCTGTCTACTTGAGAGTTAGTGAGGCTGACTTCTCTTTGATCCTTCAGTCAATGAGTATTAAGTAGGTAGGCGCTTGGTCACCACAGCATGTAACGGCAAAAATTTAAAAAGTGTCCATCTGCATAGTAAAATGCTGATTAACTGAAAGAGCATGCTTGTCAGGAACAAATTATTAATCTCAGTGTGGCCTATTTATAGTTGGAATTTCAGCCTTAATCTGACATGCACACTTTATTATGGTATCTTGGCTGACTTCGGTTTTATTAATTATGTTTTAATAGACAGTGCCCTCTTACATGGTGAATCAGAGGGGGAAAAAAGAATTTGACAGTGAGTCCTGTGTATGCCAGGAGGCATTTAGAATGCCTCATTCACAAGAGAGAAAAAGAAGACATGCACAAAGGATTGTGAGAAACTCAGATATTTTAGGTACTTTGGAAAAAACGAGTTGCAACTTGCCAATAAAGAGTAGAAGAAAATGTGGCTTTTATGCGGAGAAACAAAATGCAGGGTTATCTTATCTTCATTCCTGAGCCAAAGAGCTGCTCTAGGTGACTTTGGGCAAATCGTTTCATTCTCTCAGTTTGCTCAAATAAAAGTTCTATTAACCCACAATTCCTCACATATTATCCAATCAGTGCTGGCTTTGGATTTTCACTTGTTTAAGGGATAGAGCCTTATAAAAGTGACAGAGAACACTCCCAAGCTGTAAAACCGAAGTTCTCCTCCCAGCTCAGAGGAATACATAAATAAATGTTATTCTATTTTTTAAAATATTTTTTAATTTTTTGTTTGTTTGTTTGTTTGAGACAGAGTCTCACTCTGTTGCCCGGTAGAGTGCCGTGGGTAGCCTAGCTCACAGCAACCTCGTCCTCCAGTCTCCAGTAGCTGGGACTACAGGCATGCGCCACCATGCCTGGCTAATTTTTTCTATATATGTTTAGTTGGCCAATTAATTTCTTTCTATCTTTAGTAGAGATGGGGTCTCGCTCTTGCTCAGGCTGGTTTCAAACTCCTGACCTTGAGGGATCCACCCACCTCCGCCTCCCAGAGTGCTAGGATTACAGGCGTGAGCCACCACTTTTATTGAGCCCAATAAAAGTTATTCTAAATGGGGTGGAGTTACTGTTAAACCTGAGCATTGTTAGTCACTGGGTGGGCACTGCTGGAAATGGGAGCACACACCAACAATCTAGACATGGGCTCCAGGCAGGTTTTGCAGAAATACACCGTGTGACCTTGGACAAATTACCTTTTTTTTAAAAAAAGCATCTTTATTGAGCAAAATAATATGCAATAAATCGCACATATTTAAAGTGTACAATTTAAGTTTTGATATATGGTATATTTATGAAACTATGACTAAATCAATATAATGAACATCTGTGTTACCCCAAAATGTTCCCTTGGACCCTTTGTAATGTGTCCCCCTGTCCCTTGAGCAATAGGTGATCTGCTTTCTGTCACTATACAGTTGTTTGCATTTCCTAGAATATTACATACACAAAATCATACAATATACACTCTTTGGGTCTGGTTTCTTTCATATGTAATTATCTTGAGATTCATCCATGTGGTTGTTTGTGTAAGAGTACATTAAGTGATTTAACTTATTGAAACTCACTAATCGAATGTAACAAAATAACAATACTTGACACAAGAATGAAGGTAAGGTCGTGGCAGGTTGCTTAGGTCTGGGAATAGTAGATCCCTCTTTGGGATCTGAGCCAATCTTTATAGGTGCAGGGGCAAGAAATTTGTCCCTCTGTGATCCTTACACCTCCTGGGATTAAATCAGACTATACTTGCGAAAGGGCTTTGCAAGTCTGACATAAACTACTGCATCGTGCACTCCAGCTCATTAATTTATACGACACATATTTATTGAGCATCTCCTATGTGCAGGCACTGTACTAAGAGCTTGTAATACAGTGGGGAACAAAACAAGATCACTGTTCTCATGGACCTTCAATGCTAACTGGGGACACTCAGGCCACGCGTCAATAAACGAATGAGGCAAGTCAGGAATAAACTTAATAGGGAAGGAAAGGGTATTTTAGAAAGCGTCGCCAGAGAAGCCTTCTGCAGATAAGACAATGTCTGAATAAAGACTGAATGGAGGAGAAGCCACCCTCTGATAGATGTCTGGGAGAAGAATATTTCAGGCAAAAGGAACAGTCAATACAGAGGCCTTGAGGCTGCCAGCAATAAACGAGGCTGTCATGGGAACTGCAAAGACAGCAGTAGCTGGAGCAGAGAGGTGAGGAAAGCGTGGCAGGGGCGTGTGCCCTGCCTTTTATTCTGAATGAAATGATGGGCCATGCAGTGCACTGAACAGAGGAAGGGTGAGATGTGACTTAGAGCAGGAACGACCACTCGGGCTGCTCTATGGAGACTGCTGGTAGCAAGAGGGAAAGCAGGTGGGCCAGTTAGGAGGCTACTGCAACAGTCCTAGCAAGAGGTAGAGGTGCACTAGGAGCGGAGCCCATCAGAAGTGGTCAGACTCTAGATACATTGTGAAGGTGGGCTGACCGTTCACGATTTATTTCCCCCCAGTGGTTTTATGAAATGTTTAATAATAACACTACCCCGATTTATGTAGTACTTACTATGGTTCAGTACCCCAGTTCAGTTATACTGAACAATTAATATGGATTATCTAATTTAATCGTCACAACAATACCATGCAGTATGTTCTACTATTTATATCCATTTACTGACGAGGAAATTGAGGCAAAAAGCAGTTAGATAACTTGACCAACATCACACATGGAGTTGAGATGTGATCCCAGGTGGCCTGGCTTCAGAGTTTATCCTATTAATCACAATGCTAAATGACCTCTCAAAATTAATGTGTAAAAGAAATAATAATATTAAATATTTTGTGTAAGGTATATGTAGACCAAACAATTGAGAAATATGTTATAATGATCATTGGTTTAAAACTTAGGGTCTCAAACAAAAAGTTCAGACACAATTTCTTTATCTTTGTTAAGAACACAATAAACCAATTTTTCAGTGGAGCCACTTTTCCTGGGCCACCTGGTCAAGGTAGGGCTACCTGGCCACTATTCATGACCATGGCCACATGGCTGTGTAGGACTGTCCTAAATAAAGCCGCCTCTTTGGAAAACACTGACTCGGAAATGGAACTGGACATGAACAGTTCAGAGCATTACCGCCACGTTTGCCATCCTTCTGGTGAATTCTTTCTTGCTGGGACTTTTCTTTTGGTTTTGGTAAAGGCATGGCTATCTTGACTTTATCAAGGGCACAAAATAATTTTATGGCCAAAGATAAAATATTGCTGAGAGACATCCCGTTGTTCAGAAACACTTCTATAAAGCCGACCTTCCTCTCAAATTTCTTGGGACATGTGTTGGGATTTTATGGATGAGGAAACTGAGGTCTAGAAAAGACAAGAGATTTGCCCAGGGTCTCTGGCTGCTTCCATGACAGAGCTGCGGTGGCAGTTCCGGGATCAGAATGTTCCCGAGGTTTTTATAGAAGGCTGTGAGCTCACGCTGTGACAGGTGTTTTGTTGTTTCATCAGATGAAACTATTATGAAAGAGCTGGGCAAACTCCTCCTGAAGTCTGCTCGCAAACGGGTGGGCAACCGCACATGTTTGTAGAATGTGAGGCTACATTTTGCTTAATGTTCTATCTGGGTTTTCTTCAATCCTTCCTGCCAATGCAGAAATCTGCACACATTAAGCAAAGCAGGACTGTTCAATAATACACCTGATTATAATTCTAACTTCAGGAGGAAACACATTTCCAATCTTTTTCTAGTACATTCTCTATAGGCATCTTAAGCACAACAGATGAGGCATAAAATCTTTTATGAGTCAGTAAATAGATGCTTTTGCTGCACAATATTTCAGGTAAGATAAAAGTACTCCCTCTTTTCATCCTATAAACTGAAAACCTTCAGCCATTTATTCCAGGCTAAAAGAAAGAGAAAAAGTCTGATAGAGCAGAGAGAAATGTTCAGGTTTCTTCTGTTTAAACCTGTTAACAAACACGTGCAACTAAGCCTGATCTCTTTTTTAGGATCCACTGTGTGTGTGTGTGTGTGTGGTGTGTGTGTGTATGAGAATGTACCTTAGCACATTTGGGCTTTCTGTATCAGGATATACAGAAATGAAAAAAACAAATTTTTTTTTGAGACAGAGTCTCCCTCTTTTGCCCTGGCTAGAGTGCCATGGCATCAGCCTAGCTCACAGCAACCTCAATCTCCTTGACTCAAGTGATCCTTCTGTCTGAGCCTCCTCAGTAGCTGGGACTGCAGGCATGCACCGCCATGCCTGGCTAATTTTTTCTCTATATATTTTTAGTTGGCCAATTAACATTTCTATTTTTAGTAGAGACAGGATCCTGCTCTTGCTCAGGCTGGTTTCGAACTCCTGACCTCGAGCGATCCTCCTGCCTCGGCCTCCCATAGTGCTAGGATTACAGGCGTGAGCCACCACGCCCAGCCAGAAATGAAATTTACAAATAGGAAATCAATAATTTGTGGGTTTTTTTTTCATCTTCAAAATACCACTGCCCTTTTCTCACCCATACAGGATAACATCTAAAATTTTATTTCTATGCTCATAGCTTTATTGAGCAAATACTAAATGTGAGCATGAATGGGGGCTCCCCCTTTTCTTCCAGGTAACAGAACTCGTTGAGTGATGGCTTTTGGGACACACAACTTCACAATGACTGCTTCGAGCTGGTGAGACAAAGGACAGATGTGAAAGCTCTTTGCAGTGCCCGTGGTTTGCAGATGATTCCTCTTTCATCCCACCTAAGGTGAAACTATGTCAGCTTCAAAACATTGCAGGTACCTCTTTTAGGAAATTAGTTTATCTCTGTATTCATTATGTCCAGGAGGGCACAGTGGGAGTAAGAGAGCCCCAAGTTCAAGTTCTGACTTTGTCACTTACTGCTCTGATCTGTCCATTATTCACCCCTGTTTGGCCTTTGTTTCTTCTCAGTAAGAGGAGGAGAAAGTCAGATCCTTTCAGGATTATAACAGGGATTACGATGTCAGGAGGTTTTCGGACACAGAGCAGACGTTCGATAAATGACACCTCATATTAAAATAGCATCGATCAATTTAGATGCCATTCTGCCTTTTTATCATAAAAATATTTCAAAGGTATGCATATCAATCTCCTTCTAGAAAACATGAAGATTTTAGACTGTTTTCACCCTCAGCACCCGCCCTTGGTCTTTTATTGTTTCTATCTGGGATTTTTATTTTTGTCTTACTTTTAACCTCTTTAAATGATTTGTTACAGCTTATGCTAATTAAGTTTTCCCAAAACACGTTTACCATTTTATCTTCTCACCATCACATCACACATTTCATTCCTTCCTTCTAGGCTTATTATCCTTCTTAGTAAAGTATATATGCTTTAACATTTTATTTTGAAATAATTATAAAAGGAAAGCTGCAAAGAAATGAACAGGGAGGTCTCATGCACTCTCCACCTTTCCTCTCCCAATCGTATAAATACAGGAAAGCAACAAAACCAGGTGGCTGGCGTTGGTGCAAACCGCAGAGCTCAGATTTACACATGTATTTGTGTGTGTTGCTCTATGCAATTTTATCACACGTGAAGCTATGCATCACTACTACCATAATCAAGATACTCAATCGTACCACTGGTACCGTGCCTTTTGTTCAAACTGCATTCCGCCACCTATATCCCTAACCCCCAGCAGCCACGAATCTGTTCCCCATCTCTATAATGTTATTTATTGCAAGAGGGTTATGTGTAAATGAAACGGTACAGGACGTGATCTTTTGAGACTGGCTTTTCTTCACCGAGCATGATTCTCTTGAGGTCCAGCCAATTCATTGCACAGATCGCCAGATTCTTCCTGTCACCAGGTGGTACCCATGGCACGGATGCGTCATAGTTAACCATTCACCCACTGAAGGACATTTGGGTAAGCTCTGGCTTTTCTCTATTACAAACAAAGCTGCTGTGCACATTCATATACAAGCTTCTGGGTAAATATTAAGTTTTCATTTTTCTCTGAGATAAATGCTAAAGAGTGCAATTCCTGGGCCCTACGGTAAGTCTGTTTTTAGTTTTAAAAGGAACCATAAAACTATTTTCCAGAGTGGCTGTGCCATTTTACACTCCCACCAACAATGTAGGAGTGATCCGGTTTCTCTGAATCCTTGCCCACATTTGCTGTGATCACTATTTTTTAACTATTCTGACACGTGTGCAGTGACAGCTCGTGGTGGATTTCATTGGCATTTTCCTACAGGCTAATGAGGTCGAACATCTTTTCAAGCGCTTCTTCACCATCCACACCTCCTCTTTAGTGAATGTCTCTTTCTGTAATTCATCTGATTGCTAATTTTACTGTTTGCTTTTTACTACTGAATTTTGAGAGTTCTTTATATATTCTAGATATTGGTCCTTTGTCAGATATGCAGTTTACAAATCACTGCCTCTCAGACTGTAGCTTGTGTTTTTGTTCTTTTAACAGGGTCTTTTAAAAAATGAGATCCAATTTCTCAATTTTTCCTTTTAAGGATCATGCTTTTGGTGTTGTGTCTAAAAATTCTTCATAAAGCCCTAGATCCTGACTAATATGTCCTGATTTTTTTAATCTAAATTTTTATAGTTTTATATTTTTAAGTCTATGATCTATTTTGAGTTAGTTTTTATATAAGGTGTGAGATTTAAGTTGAAGCTTTTTTTTTTTTTTGCCATTGATTTTTGCCATTGATATCCCATTGATTCAGCACCATTTGTTGAAAAATATACCTTTTTTCCAGTAAATTGCTTTTGCAATTTTGTGAAAAAAATACGCGGGCATATTTGTGAGAGTCTATTTCTGGGTTCTTTATTCTGTTCCATTGACTATTGTCTTTTCCCAACTTTTTTTTTCTAGTCTTCCAGTATTATCAGATACAGGGCGTCTCAGTCATTTTATCCTGTCTCTGAGTTGCCTTCTCCTGTCTTCTTCATCTCTCCTTAGACTGGGAGATTTCCTCCTACTTATATTTTAGTTGACTATTTCTCTCTTCAGCTGAATAATCTGCATTAGAGGTTTCAACGATCCTGATTATATTTGTGTTAATTTATAGGCTTGGCGTTGTTGCCACCAATATTGTTCACAAATATTGTAGAACCATCGTTGGACTGCACTCCTTTGTCCTCTCTGCAGGGAAGCATGGCCTTGTGACTTCTTTTAACTGAAGCATGACTGACATAGGACAGGGCAGAGCTTTAAGAGCCAAAGCGAGACTCATTACGCTCTCTGGATCCTGCTTCAGGGATGTGTTGAGATGGGGCCTCCATCGGCAATGGGACCCTGGGTGGCTGTGACAGGCAGGAGCTCCTGCCAGCCTACACTGGACATGCAGCTTGAGCAAAAACAAACAGCAGTAGCGTCATGTGCCACTGAGACTTGGGGGCTGTTTGTTGCTGCAGGCTTCCCTAGCCTATCCTGACTGCTACCCGCGGGGAGTCCCCAGGATGCAGGCAGCGAAAGTTCAGGCTCCAGCCCTGTGCACGGTTCCTGTCCAGAGGTTTTTGTTTCTCCTTATAATTTCCTCTTTTCTGCCCCAGGGCCCAGGTCAGAGGGAAACTTCTTTTCTGCTTTCCTGTGCTGTGAGCAGAACCCTCCCCTGCCTCTACCCCATTTTATGAAATGATTTATTTTATCTGAACCTCTAGGCTATTTATGTGCAAGGCATCAGTCCGCCTTTCTGTTCATTTTCCTGTTGTCACGTAACTGTCAAGAGTCGTAGCTCAAGGGCCTGGTCCCCATCTCACAAATATCCACGTTCATGATCATTTCGACTTGGATATTCTTCTGTACTTCCGGAACTTGGAGACTTCCTGTCCTTCCTTTCAAACTTGCCAAGCATTAATTTTTTGTTGCTGTTGTATTTCATCCTGTGTGTCTGTCGTCACGGGGGTGCTGTTAGCACGCTCAGCTCCCTCACGCTGCCACGCTGCTAGAAGTCTTCCCAAGATCATCTTCTCTACTATCATAATTCCCATATTTTCCAGACTCTTTCTGAAGCATCATCCACATTCACCTTAACATTAACCGTCTCCCTGCTGGGATGCCATGGTCACACTCTGAGAGCTGATGAACCCAGGAACCAAAAGACAGGGATCCACAAAAACAATGCGACATGAAATGGCCGATAGAACCTAGAGATGATGTCTAATATCACCCAAAATGTAATTTAAAGACATGTTACTGAAGAGAATAAAGACAATCAGAATTCACCCAACCAACCTAAAATGTTAATTACCATAAAATAACTTACAAACTTAGCAGATGAAACGTAATGTCAAAGGACAATGAAAGAGCACTCGGTTTTGAACTGGGGGAAAAAAAAGGGAACCGGTTGAAATAAACTCAAAAAAAAAAAAAAAAAAAACCAAACCCACCCAAAAAAGAAAAGGCCTCAATTTAAACAATCCCAAGGAAAAAATTCCAAAAGAAAATCAAAAAGGCCTAACCTAAAAAAAAAAACGGAAAGGAACTTTTTTTTTTCAGGTCATCATTCTGACCATCAGCTAATTCAGAGTACTGACTATGTACCAGGTGCTATATTAAGAACATTAACTAGGCTGGGCGCGGTGGCTCATACCTGTAATCCTAGCACTCCAGGAGGCCATGGCAGGCAGATAGCTCGAGGTCAGGAGTTCGAAACCAGCCTGAGCAAGAGTGAGACCCTGTCTCTACTATAAATAGAAAGAAATTAATTGGCCAACCAATATATATATATAAAAAATTAGCCGGGCATGGTGGCGCATGCCTGTAGTCCCAGCTACTGGGGAGGCTGAGGCAGGAGGATTGCTTGAGTCCAGGAGATTGAGGTTGCTGTGAGCTAGGCTGATGCCACGGCACTCACTCTAGCCTGGGCAACAAAGCGAGACTCGGCCTCAAAAAAAAAGAACATTAACTATATAGGACTTCACTTGCTCCTTGCAACTACGTTTGGGTTGACCCTTCAACAAGATGGCTCCAATTGGGCACGTCCACTTATGCGTGGATTTTCTTCTGCCTCTGCCACCCCTATGACAGCAAGACCAACCCCTCCTCCTCCTCAGCCTATTCAATGTGAAGATGATGAGGCTGAAGACGTTTCTGATGATCCACTCCCACTTAATGAATAGTAAATATATCTTCTCTTCTTTATGATTTTTCTTAATAACATTCTCTTTTCTGTAGCTTACTTTATTATAAGAATACAGTATAGAATATATAATATACAAAATACATGTTCATCAACCATTTATGTTATTGGTGAGGTCAACAGTAGTTAAGTTTTGGGGAGTCAAAAGTTACACATGCAGATTTTCATCTGGAGGTGAGCGACCCAACCTCCACGTGTTCAAGGATCAACCGTATTCCATGAGGCAGGTATTTATGGAAGGGGCTCCAAGAGTGAATAATGTGCCCAATGTCACACACCAGGTTAAGTAATGGAATCCGGACGAGGAAGACCTCGTCACTACCTTGCTGCTTGTACACTCTTTTTTTTTTTTTTTTTTGGTAGGGGCTACCAGGTATGCACGGCACAGGACAGGGTAAAATAACTTCCATGGAGAGAAATATAACACTGTGGATCCAGCCCAACTTCTGGAGAGTTTGAGTGATCACTGCCTGGTCACTTATATGTTATTGTCTCTCTTGAAAGATCTTCTCCTTTTCACACTGTCAAATTCTATTCATCCTTCAAAACCTAAATCAGATGCTGCTTTTCATTAAACACTCCCCCAAGTTATCCAGTTGGATTTCCTTCTTTCTCTTTTTTACTTGTTAGTACAATGCAGTGGTTAAATATGTACCAGGCGTCTTCAAACTACGGCCCACGGGCCACATGCTGGTGTTTTTTGCTTGTTTGTTTTTTTACTTCAAAATAAGATATGTGCAGTGTGCATAGGAATTTGTTCATAGTTTTTTTTAAACTATGGTCAGGCCCTCCAACAGTCTGAAGGACAGTGAACTGGCCCCCTGTTTAAGAAGTTTGAGGACCCTGGAGACAGACCACCTGGGTTCCAGTCCTGGCTTTGCTGCTTGGTGTGTTAGACGCCGCCTGGTATACAGCAAGTGCTTAGCAAACACTAGCCACTACAGCGCCATTTGCATTCATACCTTGGGTTAGAGTCTCTTACATTCTCTATTAGAGCACAAACTCCTGTGTGGCAGGAACCAACCTTACTTTAATTTCAAAACACCTGCAGAACCCAAATTCTTCTCATGGCCTCTTCTGCTAACACTCTCATCTCCCCTGGATGATTGCAACACTTGGAACTGGTCTCCCAACTTCTGCCCATGCTACCTTGAGTCTGCCCCAAACTTGGCAGCCAGAATACAACTTTCAAGTCTAAAGTGGCACCACTGATCCCAAGCGGGCAATGTAGCCGTTCTCATGCCAGTGCAGCCAATGGAGCCAGAGCCTTTGCTGTTGGAAATGTCACATCCTTCAGCCCGTTACCTCTCTGACCTCATCACTGGCCGCTCCACCTGCCTGGAGTTCTCTTCCCCCCGATATCCACGTGGCTCACACGATAAATTTTATTTATTGTCTACCTCCTCCAACAGAATAGAAGCTCCAGGAGTTCAGAGGTTCGTGGCTCTTTCATCGATTGCACTCAAGGTCGCCTAGCGCTCCGAGTGCCTGGTAGGTATTCGGTGAGTATTTCTTAAAAGAGTGATTTTCTTTCTTCCCACCTGATAGAGCACCATGTACGCTGTAGGCATATAATACATACTTTTAATTGAACTTTGACTCTGAAAAAGGCTCCTGTATCACAAATGATACAGGAGCAAACAGAAGCATAAGAAAGCGCCTCACCCTGGAGTCACGGAAGACCAGTTACTGAACCAAAGCAAAAAGCATCTTGTCCCAGGGGAACTTTATTCCCCGGGGAAATCTTTATGTGCACCGGCCTTACCCATTTGTCCACTGCCCCGTCCACCCCACGAACAGTATAAAAGCCTGGGTGCTAAACTGACCAGGCTGGGGCCAGGGGCCGGTGGAGCAGGTAAAGGGCAAGACAGCGGCATAGGAAATCCCTCGGTTAGGTAATGTGGGATGTGTGTGTGCAAAGTGGCTCCAAGTCACAGGAAAAGATCACCACCCAACGCCCAAGAAACGGGTCAGAGATAAGATGTTGAGTCTAAGCACATTTCTAAGGGAGATGAGGCGGCAGATACAGTTGGTTCCGAGATCAAGCATGGAGCAAAAATGGGAACAGCAAGGAGCAGAGGAAGAGACAGAGCTAGGTCAGCAGGATGGCTTTGAGCTTCACCACGGGAAAGACCCGGATCGATCCCCAAACCTCTTGTGAGGGCCGTGCTAGTCGTGTGTGCTGGGACTGAATATGTCTAGTTTAAGGACATGATGCAGGCCAGACCTCTGCATTTCCTCTGTAGGAAGGCCTCTGTATTTTCCTGCAGAAGCAGAGTGACAACGCTCCATCCTCTACTGGGGACTGGTTAAAGCGCCCTCGTGTGGTGCTTCATTGTAACAACACTTCCATTCTCCCCCAGGGCACACTGTCGCCCTACATCAGGGACCCGACCTGCAGAGTCTGGGAACTGAGATGCAAATCCTCCGTCCCACGCCCGGATCTCCTGAATCAGAAACTCAAGGAGGTAGGTCTGGGAATCCGTGTTTTAACAAGTTCTCTGCTAACGTTTGAGAACCACTGTTCGAAATAAGTGGCATGAAAAGAGAGGACGACGGGTTAGGAGACAGAGGCCGGCAGGGCGGGTGCTCTACCTGAGCGCAGACGTGGGGACCCAGTGGCTGGGGTGGATCCCATCAGAGCGGGCGGCAGGGACAGAGGATCAGAGGGGAGAAACTGCTGGAAAAGCCAGGCCAGGGTGGCTGGGTGTAATCACAGCTTCATCTGCGAAGTCTTTGATTTATGGCTATTTTAAAGCTGGTCCTTACATGGTGACCATGTGTCTCTAGTTATACTGGAAATTCCTTAAATACAAGAACCAGACTTCATGTTTTTTTAAAAAAATAACTCACCCTGGCACCTTTAACAGTGCCAGAAACCGAGCTGATTCTTAATAAATACATGAATAAAGACAAAGCTCAAGAGTGGGCAAAGCTTGGGTGGAGGGAACGAATGAAGGATTTATTTTTATCATTTTAGCTTTCTATTCCTGGGCGACGTTTAGCCAGAGATGTCTGAAAGCCAATTAACACCTTAGAAAATTCTGCAAATGAAAAGTTGGTGGGAATATCATTTTTAATGACATTACCAAACTTTTCAGAAGTCAAACTCAGCATGATGAAATTTCGGAGCTTTTCTTGATGGGACGCAGTTAAATCAGTTAACATGTCAAACAAGCGCCGTTTGCTAAACTTGAGGATTTAAGAGGCTTGAGAAAAGTAGTAGTAGAGGAAAAGTAGTCATAGAAGTCGAGTCTGTACCCAACTTTTCAAATTTCTCCTCGTGATGCTAAGAAACCGAGTTGGAATAAAAACTGGAATAAAACCAAATGAAAACAAATAGACAACTTGACAAACATAATGTTAATGTCTTGAAGGAAGACACGCAATATGTTTGTGACAACTGCCATCAGCTCGACTTTCCCCTCAAAGAAGAAAGGAAGTGGCATTTGTTCAGGCTGCCATATCAAAGTCCCGCAGGCTGCGGGGATTACACACAACAGACATTTATTTTTTCACTATGCAAGACCAAGTGTGGGCACAGGGTTGGTTTCTTTTCAGGCCTCTCCCCCTGGCTTGTGGATGGCTTTCTTCTTCTGGTGTCTTTGCGTGGTCTTTGTACATGTCTGTGTCTGAATTTGCTCTTCTTATAAAGACACCAGTCATATTGGATTAGCACCCACCCTAAAGACTTCGTTTTAACTTAATCACCTCTTTAAAGGTCCTATCTCCAAAAATATAGCCATGGCTCTCAAGTATTGGGAGTTAGGACTTCAACATGGGGATCTGACAGAGGCAGACACAATTCAGCCCATAACAGTCCTTTAGAGAGTGACACATTCTCCCAAGAAACTAAAGACCAGCATGGGTGCTGCCTCCGGGGGTCACCTGCATTCCTAGCTGAAAAGTCTTGTCCCATGGAGCTCCAGACGGGACCTTGACCCTAGCCTTGCTAAGTCTCAACCCCACATTGGAGCGAACTTGAGAAATCTGGACTGGAGTGGACCAGGAACCCTCACCAACTCCTTTGCCTAAGGAGACAGATGTCTAGTCTCTAGCAATGTAGAATACGCCTTTCTGTGTTCTTAAACTCCACCTAAAGTAGGGGAAACTGCCAGAAATCTCAGTTTCTGGTTCTCAGCAGCCTTCTGAAGGCCACTGCTAGCATGAGAACAAACACCAAGGTTGAAGTTCTACTTGGGTGTATGGCGTAAGATTCGCTTGCATCTTAATTTTATTTCTAGTATTTCATAGAATATTCTTTAAAATCTGGTGCAAAAAATGTAGGAGTGCTCATATGGAGTTAAAATAAACATAAAGGATCTTATTTGTAAGTTAGCTTTTTAAAAACAAATTAACTTGGCAAGAAATTTTTCATTGAAAAAAATGGTGTGTGCAATGAATTTTGCATTTGCCAAAACAGGAAGGCAGAGTGAACAGATTTTAAGAAAGAGTTTTCATGGCAAAGGGAAACCAAAGAGACTGATAAACTAAATCTTTTCCCTCAGAAGTAGTTCAGGCAATGTTTCTTAATGTCTCATCTTTTATCCCAACCCAACCACTGCAGAGTATCTGAGGGTAGACTTCCAATCTCATTCCTGGAGAGACTGTACAGTAGTAGCTAGTGTTATTAGAACACATTAAAATTTTGGAATTTTGTCACTGTAGGAGAGATTCTTTTTGCCATTCTCTTTAGCCAATAAAGTCTTCAATAATCACCTGGCCTTCAAATATTCATGGCCAACTGAACTTACGAACCCAGCTAAGACAATTAATAGCAAAGGGTCAATCACTTGAGGGCTAAATTATTATCACAACTATATCCCTGGGGCCGAGCGAGGTGGCTTACTCCTGTCATCCTAGCACTCTGGGAGGCTGAGGCAGGTGGATCGTTCAAGCTCAGGAGTTCAAGACCAGCCTGAGCAAGAGTGAGATCCCATCTCTACTAAAAAAACAGAAAGAAATTAGCTGCACAACAGAAAAAAAAATAAATTAAAAAAAAATATATATATATAAAATTAGCTAGGCATAGTGGTACATGCCTATAGTCCCAGCTACTCAGGAGGCTGAGGCAGGAGGATCACTTGAGCTCAGGACTTTGAGGTTGCAGTGAGCTAGGGTGACACCATGACACTCTAGCCCAGGCAACAGAGTGAGACTCTGTCTCAAAAAAAAAAAAAAAAAGACTATATCCCCACAGAATGGGAAAAAGTATTTACAAACTACTCCTCTGACAAGAGATTAGCAACCAGAATATATAATGAGCCAAAACAACTCAGTAGGAAAAAAACCAAGTAATCTGATTTTTAAAAAGTGAAGGATCTGAATAGACATTTCTCAAAAGAAAACATACACATGGCCAACAGGTATATGACAAATGCTCAACATCACTAATCATCAGAGAAATGCAAAACTACAATGAGATATCATCTTAGCCTGGTTAAAATGGCTTTTATCCAAAACACAGGCAATAACCAAATGCTGGCAGGAATGTGGGGCAAGGGGACCCTCCTACACCGTTGGTGGGAATGCAGATTAGTGTAACCACTCTGGAGAACAATATGGAGCTTCCTCAAAAAACTAAAAAATAGAACTAGTATATGACTCAGTAATTCCACTACTGGACATATATCTAAAAGAAAGAAATTCAGTATATTGAAAAGATACCTACAGCCTTCACGTTTATTGAAACACTATTCACGATAGCCTAGGTATGGAATCAACCTAAGTCTCCATGCATGGGTGAATGGACAAAGAAAATGTGGCACATACACAACGTGGAATATTATTTGGCCATAAAAAAGAATGAAATCCTGTCATTTGCAACAACATGGATGGAACTGGAGGACATTATGTTAAGTGAAAAGAGCCAGGCACAGAAAGACAAATCTCACATCTCCTCACTCATATATGTAGGAGCTTAAAACAAAAAATTAAACTCATGGAGATAAATAGGAGAATGATGGTTACCAGAGGCTGGGAAGTAGGAAGGGTAGCGGGGAGGGGGGATAAAGAAGCGAATGGTTAACGGGTGCAAAAATACAGTTAGATAGAATGAATAAGGTCTAGTATTCAGTAGCACAATAAGGTGACTAAAGTTAACAATGATTTATTGCATATTTTTAAATAACTAAAAGAGTGGAAGGCAGGAGGATCGCTTGAGCCCACGAGTTTGAGGTTGCTGTGAGCTAGGCTGACGCCATGGCACTCTAGCCCGGGCAACAGAGCGAGACTCTGTCTCAAAAAAAAATAAAAAAATAAAATAAAAGAGTGGAATTGGAATGTTCCTAACACAAAGAAATGATAAATGCTTGGGGTGATGGATATCCCAGTTACCCTGCTTTAATAATAATACATTGTTTGCCCGTATCAAAACATTGCATGTATCCCCCATAAATATGTATAGCTATTATGTATCCATGATAATTAAAAATAAAAAAATTTAAAAAGACTGTATCAACCCTTTCCATGTATTAAATTAGATCCCTAGAAATCTACAGATTCCAGATATACCCTTCTTACAGCATGACTTATATTATACTATGTCATTGGAGTTTTATGGGAAAGATACAGTTATACGAAAAACCTTTCATAAAACAACTGTTAAATATAACTGCTTATTACATAATAAGATGTCAAGAACATTAAGATATAAGGTTTCTTGGATTGTAATGCTTTAAAACATTTTTCCCTTATGAACTGATATAAACCTCTACTTAAATAATAAAATCCATTTAACCCCTGAATTTCTTCTTTTTTTAAAATTTTTTTAGACAGAGTCTCACTCTCTTGCTTGGGCTAGAGCCTAGCTCACAGCAACCTCAAACTCCTGGGCTCAAGTGATCCTCCTGCCTCAGCCTCCCAGTAGCTGGGACTATAGGCATGTGACTGTGCCCAGCTAATTTTTTCTATTTTAGTTGTTTAGCTAATTTCTTCCTATTTATAGCAGAGACCGGGTCTCGCTCTTGCTCAGGCTGGTCTCAAACTCCCTAGCTCAAGCAATCCTTCCGCCTCAGCCTTCCAGAGTGCTAGGATTACAGGCGTGAGCAACCACGCCTGGCCTGCATTTCTTCTTTTTTCTTGTCTTAGCTGCAATGACAGCTCTTTATCTCTTTATCTTAATTTTTCTAGGACCCATATTTTTTCCAACTTCTGTATTAATTCTTGTTTCAATGGTTCTTATATATTTTTATTGGTTTCAATTAAGCCCAATCCAATCTATTTTGAATGTAGAGAGGTATAAATAGAAAAAAAAACAAACTTGTTTTATTTTAATGTTGTCTTTGAAGCTTGGATGGAGAGTTAGAGTATTAGCATTAGGGTATTTTTAGTATTAGAGTATTTTTCAGATCAGAAAAAAAAATTAGCTATGTATCTGGGTTAGGATAGAACATCATAGCCGTGACAGAAAGAGACATATGGGAAGCCTGATTTTCTGAAATGGCTTTGGGAATATGCTACCCTTCCAGTAATTTAACACTATGACTCCATCATTGGCACTGGAAAGTTTTGTGCTAACTTTGTAACAACCTGTACTCCAGGTTTAGCAATACCCTGGCTAAAAGGAAGAAACAGAAACAGGAAAACCTAATTCTTCTCTAAGATCTTTCTCAGTGCTAAGGTGTCTCCTTCTTGTCCCTGCCCAGTGACAGACCCTATAAAATAATGACGGTCCAGCGAAGGCTCGGGCCCTCAGCATCAATCAAAACCTCCCTTCTCCTCTGTCTGCTGAGAAACCCTAGAAGATACTGGTAAAGAGCATAGAATCCTCAGATCCAAATGAACTCAACAATTTCAAGGTTTCAGAAATCTGTTCTAGAGTTTCAACCAGGAATTTTAATAGTGAAAGATTTCTAAAGATATCCAACTAATAACTACTTTATTTTTTAAAGTAAACGCAAACGCATCATGAGTCTACACCATCTTTTACAAGAACATTCTTTCTCATGGGTGAATTGACAGCCCAGTGGGCAAACTTAGATCAGTTCTCCCTTCTCGCAGCAGATCTTACATATAAAAATCCCGGCCTATATAGGCCAGGCGTGGTGGCTCACGCCTATAATCCTAGCACTCCGGAAGGTTGAGGCAGGCGGATTGCTCGAGGTCAGGAGTTCAAAACCACCCTGAGCAAGAGGGAGACCCTGTCTCTATAAATAGAAAGAAATTAATTGGCCAACTAATACATATAGAAAAAATTAGCCGGGCATGGTGGCATGTGCCTGTAGTCCCAGCTACTTGGGAGGCTGAGGCAGGAAGATCACTTGAGCCCTAGAGTTTGAGGTTGCTGTGAGCTAGGCTGATGCCACAGCACTCACTCTAGCATAGGCAACAAAAAAAAAAAAAAAAAAAATCCCGGTCTATAAAGGACAATTCAGGGGTGATCACTTGTATCACAAAAGTATGTTTCGCTATACTAAAGGATTTCTTGACATATTTTTTCCAATGGTTAATTCTTAGCCCCTATCCATGTTTTATTTAAAGATTGATTCAGTTTACAAAGACATTCATTATAACAAATGTGAGAAAACTAAGAGGCAATCTGTGACTTATTCAATATAGCCAAACAACAAGTACTAGAAGATTCCTACCGTATAAAGGAAATTTCCTCATAATCCTCCCTCTCTACCCCCCTCCTTCCCTTCCTTCTACCACTAGCCTATTTAATTTCTTTTCCTTATTGTGTGTATGGGTTTGATTTTATTTAGCAGTTTACCATAAGCTTATTCTTTAAATGAAATGTTATGCAAAACTGCAGTATTTATAGCAGAGAAAACTCCATAGAACTCAAGTATTCTCTAGAACAGTTTGAAAACCACACCCCCGGCTCACTGCCAGTCCTCCCCAAGTCACCAGGCTATACGTGCCAGCTCTTGCTGTATTTCCTGAAATACTCAGAGGAGGCTGCACTACAATAGCCAAGAATACAGTAAATCAGACCCCTGTGGCAGTCAGGGTTTAGGTGCAGAGAAGTGAACCAGCTCCAGCTAGTTAAAGAAAAAATGGATTTATTAAATGGCTTGCAGGCCAGGCGTGGTGGCTCGCCTGTAATCCTAGCACTCTGGGAGGCTGAGGCGGGCAGATTGCTCGAGGTCAGGAGTTCGATACCAGCCTGAGCAATGAGCGAGACCCATCTCTACTATAATAGAAAGAATTAACTGGCCAACTAATATAATTAGAAAAATTAGCCGGGCATGGTGGCGCATGCCTGTAGTCCCAGCTACTCGGGAGGCTGAGGCAGGAGGATCGCTTGAGCCCAAAAGTTGGAGGTTGCTGTGAGGTAGGCTAACGCCAGCACTCACTCTAGCCTGGGCAACAAAGTGAGACTCTGTCTCAAAAAAAAGCATGGTTTGCAGAATCACTGGGCTGTGTTTTCATGGGAAGCTGGCCACCACCACACACCTGTCTGACAAAGGGACACTTCCTGCCACCCGGTCAGGTGACTCCAAGCCATGCTGCCTGGATCAGGAAGCTTCTAGTGTTGCAGAGACGGCACACCCTGCACGCTCCTTGCTAGGAAAACCGGATGCTCCACCCCTGGACTCTCAACAGACTATGCCCTGGGGCCTTGGCAAATAATAATGCAGGAAACCCCAAAGCTTCCAGTATGCCTTGCTTCCCAGCTTCCAGAACCCAGTGCATTTGATATTCCCCATGAGTTCTCTCTCTAGCCTCAGCAGTACAAGAACGTGCGCTGGGTTGGGGCAGGCTGGCCTAGGTCATTCCAGCCCGCACCCTGTCCACCCACTGCCCCCCTCGCCAGGGCGCTGGCATATTCTGGCATGTTCTTTCCCAGCACCTAAAAAGGTCAGCGATGGGCCCCGAACCTACTGACCTGCTATGAAACTCCCCTCGGCAAATTTTTCTTTTTATATTATCCTTCCATTACTACCACCGCTTAGGAAAACAAATTTCATAAATGTTTCA